CAGTATACAGTATAGGAGGGAAAAAAGGGAATCCCATGATTACCTGGAACAGGGCTGCACTTTCTGGGAGGAGGCAGGAATCTTAGTAATGGACGGGCACTGTGATCTAGGTTAGAAGAATTTCAGGGTACAAAAGTCAAACATCTGTATGATGAAAACTATGATTCACATGGACATCAGTTCCAATAGACAAGAACGGTGGAAACTACACAGTTTTGTGCACGAGTGTGTTTCCCTACATGTAGTCCATCATGAGCCCAAACAATGGTCAAATAAAGCCTATGCTGTGCCCTCTGTCTACTGGAATGTTTTCTCTTGGTCCCAATGTCTATCCCAAGTCTATTCATTTCTTTGTTCTGAAATTCACCTTTTCCAAACAGTTATTTTATAAGCAACCTATAATATTTAGAATTAGCAGATACCAGAACTACCAAAGGAATCGTCATACCATCTCTTGACTCATATCTGAAAACCACTTCTAGCCCATTCTGCAAACCCGTTAGTGCACTACGGAGAGTTAAAGCAGAACCTGGGAGCAGCTCTTTGTCCGTGAAGAACAGGGCAGCCTGGCGGAAGGCCAGCTCAGGGGTGGGCGACATCACTCTGTCCAGGCTGCCAGCAGTGTCTTTTAGCAGCTGCCGGAGGACAGCGAAAGCATTGACCCTTCTCAGCGCACAAACCAAGGCTGGCACAGATGCCAGTGCTGCTAAGCTGTCCCTCCATCTCCGGTCCCCCACCTCAAAGGGGCTGACCTCCCGGGCCTGGAGTCGCGTCAGCTCTGGCAGCCACTTCGTCGCCAGCAGCTCAAATCCCCCCTCATTGGGACCTGCTGGAGACAGGCATGACACATGGTCTACAGTTTAAGTAATTCAAATGTACAACAAAGGGCAATGCCTGCCTTTAAGATTAGTTTAGAACCAAGCTCTGTACATACTTGGCTTATTCAAACAACTGTATAGTAAGAACTACACAATCAATGCAGCAGAGCCCAGAAGATACTAACATCAAAGGTGTCCAGCAAAGGGCGCATGCACACCATCACAGAGTCACACTGAGGTACACTGAGGGCCTCTCAGGTGTGCTGTGCTTGTCCATGGGAACATGGCAGCCAGTATACAGTATATATTTTTTCTAAAATTGGTCTGTTGTACAGAGTGTACAATATGCAGTAGTTTTAATAGGCCAAATGACATCGCAAGTATCTTGTATAAGTCCATGTGAAAAAAGAAAAGATGAATACCACAAACGGTGCTTAACAGACACTAGTTATTTAACAGCATCGCCAGTTAAATAACTAAGCAGTACTTCTAAACCATTTTTGACTGAATGGCCCCTTATCAAGAAATCATTCTCCTGAAACAATGTTTTAATTAAACATTACAAATGTCAGTTTGATTATTGTATTTATATTATACAAGTTTATATATATAAGAAAAGCTGACAAAGGAGGCCATTCAGCCCATCTAGCTGACTTGGTTGCTAGTAGCTAATCGATTTCTTTCAGCTGTTTTTTGCAAGAAGCAAATGGTATCAGCTTCAACAACATGGCTGGGAATCCTAGAAGCTAACGACAGGTGAACGGATATACCACAAAACACTGTGAGAGCAGATTTGTTGCTGTTCTAGACTGGAGGGTAAAGGACACCTTTGTAGGTGGGGATCCCAGGATAGTCTCTGAAGTCTCACAGAATACTAGTTGAGAAAACCCGATTTAAAATTAAATGCCACAAAAAGATTGCCTTCACAATGTATGTAGACTGATAGCATTCAAAGTCTGTGAGTAAACCCTGAACAACATCTCGACTGCTGACTGAGGATGAAGGTACCTGCTGGGCTGCCTGCCTGGGAGGCTTCTCCTCTCAGAATCTTACGCAGAAACTCCAGTCCAGAACCTTCAATGTCGCTGCTGGTCAGGGTCAAAATCACCACCTGCTCCACTTCAGGGTTAGAAGGAAAGCTGCACACTGACAGCATGTCCAGGTAGATACTGCCACCTTCTGGCACCGACCACATAGAGCCGCCTGCAGACACAAGTCAGAGTCTTCTTAGAATTATATGAATTTGTGTGTCTGTCATTGATCATAAAGACTCAGAACGAGTTTTTACAATGCATAAGGGACTGCAGTGAAGATGCCATAGGGAAATTAAAGTCTGTGAACTGATGAGACAAACATTACAGTATGTGAAGCGGCTGCTGGATTTACAATGGTTTGAACAACGTTTGCAGAGCCTTATCTTTGGTACTGGGAATAGTGGAAACTCTGACTTACCCAGGCTGTGCAACAGGCTGTCACTGTAGCGCACCGGGTGGAAGCAGAGGTCTGGATCTATGTTGACGTCGGGGGGGAGCCTGCTGCCAATGGTCGACAGCAAACCCTGCTCTGCAAACTCCTTCATCAACCCTGTAGGAAAAGGAAAAGTGTGGGAATGGCATCCTCTCCAGTGCAGCAGCTCATTCCATCCTAAGGAAGGTTTGATGCAGAGGTCAGTAACCTGCAAGAAGGCTGGAACAGTGTCGCCAGGCATGCTCCCTCCTCAGGAGAACAATCAGGCAGTGGGATGGCAAGTCAACCTGGAAATCCTCCTCTTTTTCATTCGAAACATCCAGGAAAGGTGGAGGAGAGCAAAACACCAACACCTACCGATTCCAAAGAAAGCGAGATCGGGTATGTTAGATTACAGGTTTAGATTATTTTTCCAATATGTTTTAAGGATGTATAGAAGCTTAAATTCACAAGCATTTTAAAATGAATTGTTAAGCATGTCATGATGTTGAACGTTAATGACAAAATATTGCTGCGATATAGAAAACTGCTCTGTTCAGAAGCACATTTAGGTTTTAAAAGCAGCAGTTGTCAGCCATAAGGGTCCAAGAAACCAGTCAACTGTGACAAACAGCGTGAATTTTGTTTTCCACTCCTGCTGCACTACGTTAATACTGTAAACCTAGCAATTCCTCTTCAATTTAATAATACGCACCGTGGTTCCCATGGGTTGTAAGGACTAATAGTTACCTGCGGGCCAGTCAGCCCCAAGGCCTGGGCTCGTCTGGGAGTGAGCTGCAGCCTCTGCAGGCCTCGAATGTTGTAGCCTCGCTTGACACACGCGGCGAGGACATCTCCATAGCAACAAGGAGGGATGGCTGGAGACACCAACAAGAAGACGTCCACTATGTGGGAAGCAGAAGACACTGCTTTAGCCAAAGCAAGCAATAGTACTGGGACACTGACTTCTGAATGCATCAAATAAAACAGCCTTTCAGAGCACATTTTGAGACATATACATGTAAGCTTAGTTATGATTGATTTTTAGTCCAAACTATATCATTAGCTGACAACTGGATAATCAATCTCCACAGATTGGAATACAATTGTCGGTAACCTTTTATTATTGTGATGATCAAAATTTGCCATCTCTGGTCGAGGAATTCCCGACCTTGATACTAAAATGGTAATATCATATAGCACCTCTGTAGCACTTTCAAGCATGTAAAAAGAACAATGGGCCTAATTTTGGGACTCCTGGGTTTGGATTTAATAATAATAATAAACTTTATTTTATATAGGGCCTTTAAAGGTGGCTTCTCAAAGCGCTTTAAAGGATGACAATAACAATAAATAAGAAGACTACAACAATAAATAAGAAGAATTCAAAAGATAAGGCAAAATTACAATTACAACAATAACAATAGAGGAGACCGTGGA